GTAGCTTGAGTATAGCTACATTGAGGTGTACCAGGTTTACCTGTGGTCACTAACTTGTAATTTACACCTGTTTACATACAAACTTTCTGCCCCTGTTGTTAAAATTGATTTCTGTACTCTGTTTTACACATGATTATTAAAGAAGTGAATAAAATAATAATTATTATTCAAAATTAAAGAAAATTACAAATTTACCTGTTTCTCACCTGTGAAATACAGGTAAAAAATTACTTTTCAAAGTGAAAACCCCCAAAACATTAAAATATAGTATTTTCCCTGTATAAATATATATAGTTTTATATATCATACTCTAAAAAGGAAAAAGATATTGATATTTAAATATTTTTTATTATTATTTCACAACTTTTTCCAGATATTCAGTGTTCAGTGGTATTTTACATAGAAATATATATAGGGGTGAAAGAGCTAAAAGTTTGAATTTGAAGTGTAATTTGTTATGACAGTGAGACAAGAACTTCGAAATGGGTTATAAAACAATTCTTTTTTTTTTAATTCATGCATTAAATGAATTATAAGACTTAATTTGAAAGACTTATTAAAGAATCCAATATATCAGATATCGCATTATAAAATATCGTATCGTATCGAATTTTTTTTGCTCAATACACAGCCCTATTGTGCTGTATACGAAATATGGAAAAATAACATCATCTTTTGGCCTTTTTTGAAGAAATATTCAGGATTGGTGAATAATGATGCATTTCATGACGTCATAATGCATTGACTAGAAAGAAAAATACGTCTTTTTCAGTAGATATATACAGTCACCAAGAGTTCAAGTGGTATGTATTGCCTTGTCGACTAAAAGTATGCAGTTTCGATTTTTGAGAAATTTACAGGGCCAATACAGGCTTGAAGTGGCTCTTGCTCTTTTTTTCATTACACTACTACAAAACCCTATCCCGTTTTCTTACCCTTGTCCAAATATTGCTTAATTTTCAAGACAGTAACCATGTATTATATATATGTGTAAACAATTCTTATTACCATATAAATTCCTTCAGATGCAGAGTCCATGACCAGGAAAATACACAGTCTTCTACCTGGTGACCCCATCGTTGACGAATATTTCAAATACAGAAGACTCCTCAAGGGAAGACCTCATGACAGGATCCTTGCTCAATCCATAGGCGCTTGGGTCATGGATAATGTATCTTTTCTATGTAATGTATTGTCGAGGAAATTCGAACTATATTCGTAACATTTCTTTTAAGCGCACAGTGGTAATTTTTAGTTTTTTGTAAATCTTTCTGCTTGATATACACTAGGCTGCCACAGAAATTTTATATTATGCACGTTTTAAGAATGTTATATTCCTACTGTATACTAAAAAGAAACAAGGCTTGCAACTACCTTCGCCCCTTTCCGTGCCCCCGACACGAATTTTTCCTTTTAAAAGTTATATGCAATGCTTACCAGCTGAATTGAGAACCCTCTTTTCTCCAGATAATTCTTATATAATGATAAAAATCCTCTGGTAACAACTTTTCGTCCATTTTATATTTTTAAATAATTATTTTCTTTCAAATTTCGCTCGTTTAATTCTCTAATCACGGAAGTTCCCGAATACTAACGTCCAAAACCCAAAACGGGCGACCAGTAAATTATTTGACAGTTCTTGAAAGACGCAAGGGTTAGAGTATATGCCAAATAGAAACTGTCTAAAACTTCTTTCCTAATCACTCACTTGATTATTTTCTTATTTGCACCCTTAATCAAAGGAGTTTCTAGTTATAATTTATGGACCGGGGGGGGGGGGGGTCTTAATGATATTAATCATTATAGAGAATCTATTAAACAATGTGGCAAGTTTATATGAACAAGATTGAAAAACTGTTTCTCTTTTTACTACATGTGATTTATATAGAAGATCCAAAAGACCCAAAGGCTGTTTATACGCCAACGTATAAAGCGATTTAAACTTCTTTAAAAAGAATCTTGATCTAAATAATATTCAAAACACTCTGGCCAACCTGTTACTAAGGATAGATGGGCAAGGTCGCCATCTTGATGAAGTCACAAAGGATATCAGAGGAAAACATGGCATTCAGGAGAGATTAGAAAGTGTACAAAAACAAGCGAACGATACGATATATATAACCACTGAGCTGCATGAAAAACAGAAGAAGATGGAGAGAAAACTTAGCCGAATGAAGGATTACATAGTTCGACTGGAGTATTGTGTAAAGACTCAAAGTGAGCAGATTCTAGAGCTTAAAACTAGAGCAATGGAAGATAATATCATAGTGAGTGGAGTAGATGAAAAGGCGCCCGAGATTAAAAATCCAGAAAACCTTGCCAAGATCATTAGCAACGTGTTCACTGCAGAGATGGAGATACCAGCAGAGACTGTGGATAACCTACAGATCTATAAATTGTTCAGAATGGGTGAGTACGATAAACAACGAAAATATCCTAGGCCAATTTGTGTTCAATTTGCGAACAAATCACACAAAGATATCGTAATGAGGCACATTAAAATTCTTAAGGATAAGCAGTCACCAATAAGAGTGTCCCAACATCAACCGGAAGAAATCAGAGAAAAAAGGAAACACCAATATGATGTACAGAAACAATACGCGGACCGTAACATAGAGACCGTGTTGAAGGGTCAAAAGCTCATTTTCACACAAAGCAAATCTGTGTATAGAGATAAAATTGGTAGCCGACCTATGGCCGATGAGATCATCAGTGGAGAAGAGGTAAAGATCGCGATCAGTACGGGGAAGACCACAGAAGACAATGGAAACCTGTTTGCTGCCCACTCAACGCCAGTAGATTCCTATAAACAGGTGAGGCAATCGCTTGTGGAAGTTGTGCGTACAGAAAACACTGCCAGTGCAAGTCACAATATATATGCGTTCCGATTTTACACTAGTGATGGAACAGCGCATGAGGGATCTGAAGATGACGGCGAGCACGGAGCCGGGAGAATGTTACTCAAAGCACTCGCTGATAATGATATAAATAACGCACTGGTGGTCGTCTCGCGGTGGTGTGGTAGTAAAATCGGACCCAGACGTTTCACACATATCAACGAGGTTGGGTTAAGTGCAGCAAGAAATATGCCAGTCCCCGTCTGACGCTAAAATCAAAATCATGAACAGTCACAGGTTAAATATATATTAATAGTAACTCACGGTTAACTCACAGTTAACAATTGTGTACATTTTTTTTTTACTTTCATGGCAAATTTGTAATGCCTAAAATATTTATTTCAGTAGTTTTTCATAGGGTTATATTCATGCTGCATGTATATATTTATTTAAGGAAGCTCTAAACACTGCACGTTAAAGAGTTTTCCGGTAGGTCGGTAATTTTTGGTACATGGAGTGATCCGCCCTTTGAATTTATTCGGGAAAAAAAAATTCCGATAATATTCTAAAAATATGAAAATAAATTACCCCCCTTACCGCTCTTTAGGGTGAAAAAGGTAGAAATAGTGTAAATTTGTGAAGGCGACGAAATCATGGCAGACAAGTCTGACAACACTTCGTCTATTTTGAGAAGACGGTATAAAAGCGGAAGATTTCGGCCAAAATTTATGTCTGCTACAACTTTAGTTCCTTCAACTGAGGCAACAGAAAGAAAAACATTAGAGGATTCAAGGTAAACTTAACGATAATCGTTGCTATAAGGCTTTCGGAAAGTTGTAAAACAATATCATTGCGTCCTTAGAAGTAGAATGTTTTATTATTATTATATTTATTGAAATTTTGTTAAGGATGGATCATGGTTATGTAAGACCATCAGTTCCTATTCATGCTAACATATTATGAGTATCAGCGTTGACGAGGAGGACGAGGAAGAGAGAGATATGTACGATTATGTACGATAGATATTACAGTGGCGATGATCTGTCTGTAGACGAAGTTAATGAGGAAGACACTTTACATCCAGATATTACAAAGAATCTGCTTGATTGGAATGAGGTATTTCTTTATTTGTTCATATGATATGTAGCATTGTAAGTTAATTAAACATGTGAAGTGTTTGATAATATTATAAACCTTTCCTAAATAATGCCTACCCTATCTTTTCTTTATTTTTTAGGCTTTCTGCAAGCCACATGTTTTTTGTCTTTTCTATTAACACTGGTAATAAAATGGGCATGAAACGTGTGGAATGCAAAAATGTTCTTTAGTTTTCATCACCTTCCGTTTCTATTTTGATTAATTATTATATAATGTTATTTACATATTGTTATTTATTTGAATATTAATATTAGTTCCAATCAAATACATGTATCATTCAAAGAGTCGTCGAGTGGTAGAATTGGGTGTGCTAGCAGCACATCTACAGAAAGGATGCAAGAAATGTGGGGCTGTATTACATCTTTGGGATTGTATTCAAGAGAGGCATTATGGCCTTATTTTGTACATAAAGGTAAATGTCAAATTCATCTTCATCAAAATAAAAATTAATGCTAATAATAACAACACTTCAGTTTGTTAGTGTTCATCATGTTTCATATGAAATATTTCATTAATTTTGTAGTGTACCATATGCAGTTACATTTCAAACATTCCCACAGGAAAACGACATGAAAAAAAACATTTGGGATGTGAACACAAAGCTTAGTGCAGGTAATTTCAGAAAACTTTGCAATATGAACATTTAAGGCAACATAGTTGATAATGAATAATACATGTATTTTTTTTTCACCATTCATGTCTTGTAGGTATTGCCAACAGTGGAATAGGGTTTTCTGTTTTACAAATGTTATTTGCTTCATTGAATATCCCTGGTGTAGCAGCTGGAACAGTAGAGAAAAGAGACAGAGAAGCAGGAAAGGCCATCGAATCTGTTGCCCAAAAAGTTGCAAATGATGCTCTTGACGAAGAATTAAAAATGAATGACGGGTAATTTAAAAAAAATTAGTTTTATGAAAAATATATACCAAGCTTCACAATCTCTATCCATATTTTCTTTCAAATTCTTCTGTGAATGTGTAATTCTTTTTATCATATATTTTTAGAAAAGTTGAAATAAGAGTTGCAGCTGATGCTGGATGGCAAACTAGATCTAGTGGGAGTAAATATAACAGCTATTGAGGTATGCATTGAAGAAGAAACATATTTTTTAAAAATTTCTTTTTGTGAAAGAAAACTTATTTACGAACTGACTTATGAATATATCTCTATTTCTTTTTATAAACCACAGGTCACAGTGTACTAATAGGTGATAAATCTGGGAAGATAGTGCGATATGATTATAGATGCAGAAAATGCAGACTATGTGAAAATGCAAAAAGAAAAGGCATTCAGCCCATTGACCATGATTGCAGGTAAAATGTTGATAAGTATGAAATGTATAATGTGTAAAAAAAGAAATACATAGTTAAAAAAATCAGTGTCAGTAAATGGTGAAGGTTATTGCAAATCAATGTAATATTTCTTTTTATACCCCTGCTCCGAAGGAGAGGGGGGTATGCTGTTTTACCCTTGTGTGTCTAGCTCTGTGTGTGTGTGTCTGTCTGTCCATAACAATTTTCCTTGCAGTTTTTTCAGCAACTACTCATTGCAGATGCTTGAAATTTTAGCACATTCTTTGTTTAGCCATGCCATATGTTGGGATTCATTTTTGTACGAATCTGATGTCAATTTCCTGTTTATCTGTACATCTGTCTGTACCATACATAACAAATTTTTGTCGCAGTTTTCTCAGTAACTACTCTTTGCAAATGCATGAAAGTTTACACACTCTTTGTTTAGGCATGCAATATGGTATGATTCATTTCTGTTTGGATCTGATGTCAACTTCTTGTTTATCTGTATGTCTGTCTGTAACTAAACTTGTGTATATTCACATAGTGTATATTCACATCAAAGCAGGGGTATTACTAGTGAGCATTGGCTCACAGAATTCGTGTTTCCGCATGCTTATTTTTATATTTTACTTTACAGAAAGAATTGGGATGGCTCAGCCAAAGCTATGGAGCCTGACATGATTGTGGGCATGTTGAAAGACTTGGAAAAAGAGAATATTCATCCTCATGAATTTGTAATGGATTATGATAGTACCATCATTTCACGTGCAAGGAAAGAATGTGATCAAACTATTACAAAATTCAGTGACAGAAACCTAAAGAAAACATTTTCAAATAAACTATATGATTTGCAAAGAGTAAAAAAGTATCAACAACTTAGAGGAAAAACCATAACACATTTAAAGAAATGTTTTTCTTATGTTCTTGCCCAGCACCAGAAAAAACCTGAAGAGTTGAAAAAATCTTTATTGTGTATTATTCCTCATATGTATGGAGACCATCTGGCATGCCCTTCATGGTGTAAATTTCAGCGGAATCCTGCAAATTACATTCCACGGAATCTTCCATACAGCAGGTATCTAACATGCCTAGAGTTGAAAAAGGATTTGGAAGCAATTATTCAGACTTATGCTCAACAAGCTCAAAAACTATCTGATCTGGGATCCACACAAGCGTGCGAAAGTTTTAATCACATTGTTGCCTCAAAACATCCAAAAAACCTCTTCCTGTCAGGATCAGAAAATACAAGTTTCAGAATTGCTGCAGCTGTTGCACAGAAAAACATTGGAAAGTCTTATATACCACAAGTAGGTATATATGTATAATGCAAAAAATTATGTAATATAAAATAATCATATCTTCTCATTTTATGTAAATGAAATAATATGAGTAATATTTTTTTTACATGTATATTTACAGGTCAATGACCAATTGAATATGTCACCTGGAGCCTATACTGAAATGGCGGTTGAAAAGATGGACAGAAAGAGAAAGTTACAGAAGATTAGACAGAGTAGTGCAGAGTGCAAGAAAAGGAGATGTGAAATTAGGAAATCCTCAAGTCAAGATCAGGGTAGTAAAGAAGTGCGTGAAGGAAAAACGTATGAAGCATCAGTTGGACTAGAGGAAATGGATGAGGATCAGGACATCAATTCCATTCCAAGTGCCTCTGTTGAACCAGAGAAAATACCAGTCACAAATACCGATTGCACACTTGTTTACTTTGACATAGAAACAACAGGTTTAGGTAAATTTTTACACAATGTACAAAAGTTATACATATTTCCATGAGACATTATATATATATATCTTTTTTTTCAAGGTACATTGTTTTAGATATGTTTTCTAGGTTCATCATCAGAAATATTGGAAATAGGAGCTGCAAGAGGACATGACATCTTTCAGAAGTACATAAAACCCAGTGGTACAATATCTGCAAAAGCAACTTGTTTGACTGGTCTACATATGAAAAACAATGACCTATACTACAGAGATCAAGAACTTACAACAACAGACTTGAAATCAGCACTCCGAAAGTTTTCAGAGTGGTTATCGGACACAAATTCTAATATTCGTGTAAGCCACAATGGATTCCGGTTTGACTTTCCATTATTTATGCAAAGCATTACAGCACAAAATATTGTGATGAATACATGAATTGCCGGTTTTATAGACACTTTGGAGGTTTTTAAAAATTCTAATGTAAAGACACAAACTGGCAGCTTTTCTCAGGAGTTTCTTTTGAGAGAAGCAGGTATCCAATCGACAGGAGTTTCTCATTGTGCCCTAACGGATGCTATGGACCTACAAAATTTAGTGAATTTTCATAACATTCCTTTCAACACTCTGTTGAGGCAAAGTGCAGTTTACAATTATGTTTTACAGCATCAAACATTTTCTCTAGTAAAGAATGACAATTTGAAATCTCTTCAAGTCTTAGTTCTGGGAAAAGTTATTACAGAATTCATGGCAAATAAAATTGCAGAATCAGGTTTAAATATGAAATATATTAAATTAGCACACTCAAGAAATGGTGAAGATGGAGTAAAAAACTTGTTTCAAGAAATTGTAAATGGAAAAGCAAGAGTTTCAAAATGTAAGAAAATAATCAATTCAGTGTCCAATTATTTATCTAGTCAGTCGTAAAGAGTTACTTCCCTTTGTTTTTCATAATTGTAAATATATTATTTCATTTTTTTTCTCTCTTATATACCTGGCTCCACCATGTAAGATATGAATTTTTGTACACCATATGGCCAAACCTTTGTTTTTATTTTTAGAAAATTTCAGAAATTTCATATTTAAAAAAGATATGTGTGATTATCATTTCATTTTTCATCATCTGTTGTATGAAATGTTAAATATTTCTGAATTTGTCATTGTCATTCTGTGTGTTTATTATTTTTTTATATTTTGATTGATGTAACCCTGGACTAAGACTTTAAGAGATTTCAAAGTAATTTAAATATCTAATAAATAAACTTTTTTTCACTTTCATACATATTTCCTTATTTTTGTCATTTTTTCTTAAAAAAAAAGTGGCATCCTTGTATGAAAATATTTTTAAAAAATTGTTAGTGCACCAAGTTATAGTATATATTTCTTTAAAGTCTTAAATTTTCCTCATTGTTGGTGTTTAGAGCTTCCTTAAGTTTGTGTTTGATATTTTCCGGAATTTGCTAGTTTATACATCGCAATTTTGGATTATTTTTAAAGTCTTGATTTCCGGTGTAGAAATCGTGCAACATGGATCGTGTTTACTTGTAAGTTTCGATCAATTTTCTACCTTATCACTCAACACAGGGCGGATCTATGTGCATAATTTCAATTTTATTCTAGTGTATAGTATGAAAATATGGTATGGATAAATATTTGTTGTAATTACATTGCAGACATATTCCGTTAATAGATATAACAAACATGGTAACTACAACAAACTGAAAAAAAAAAACCCGAACAGGAAAGGAATTGAGTATATAGGTTTCCTCCCAACCGAAACTACTTTTCTATAATTTTAACAATTCTTTTTTTTTTTAAGGTTAGCATAAAGTTAGGTTTTTGGTAAATTTTGCATATTTTTGAAATGATAGTAGGCGTGTTTGAGCTCAACTACTTCTTTGTCACCCCTACCAATGTTATTGTTATTTAAATTTACATCACGTGGTTTTTCTTGAACTAGTCAAAGGTCATTAGGTTCGCAGTGAAAGAAAACCTTCACACCTATAGTCTGTTTTCTGTATAAAACTCTTGACATACCAGTTTCGATTAATACGGCAGACCTTTACCTTTTCATTCTTTTGAAAAAAAAACCCAGTATATCAATGAAATAACATCTCAACAAAATGATATATTTTGTGGAAACCCTAGAAGTTCATCCCAACAAAAATGAATGTAATGAAGTACATGTAATTACATATGGGGAATACACATCTGAGTATTATTATAAATTTTATGTTTTTTTTAGATTTACTTGAATAATGTTTTTATTAAAAACATTATTCAAGTAAATCTAAAAAAACATTGAACTCAAACAATGAGTTCCTGTGACAGCCATTTATTCCGCAAGTTAATTGGCTATTGCTTGGACACTATCAAATTGTTCCGCTGCCTGAAGACTACTTATGATATTTTCGAGTATTTCGACATCCTGCTCATCGTTGTCCTCCTCCAACTTCAAGCGCTTTGTTTGGGAAGTACAGCTTAGCATTCTTTGTTTTTTTAAAACAAAACCTGCAAAAACACCTCTGATTTGTTGGTGTGTCAACCATTCACTTGGGCTAAAAAGTCTCTCCCCATCAAAGTCTTTTTCAGATCGCATCTGTCTGCTTACAGTGTATGGATTGGCTTTTCGGCCAGTTTTCTCTCCTCCATCATAAATCTCAAGCAAATACTTTTTCACCTTACTTGAAAACCTTGTATTTTTCTTCCGCTGCTTCAGTGCGTATGCCGGTGTCTCATACGAGACTTCATCAGCAGGGTTAATATCACATGTTTCCACACTGACACTGGGCTGAGTAGATCTGATTTTGGTGCATACTTCTGCCCACATTCTCTTTGAAGTGTCCAGTATGTTGTCGGTCTTTTCATTGTCATAAACATGATTACCAACTGCTAGGTGGTTAAGCAGTTGATTCTCCTTTCTGAACTCTTTTACACAGTCAGGATCACAACATGACAGTAAACGACTTGTAGATTTTCTTTGTCTTGTCTTCTCAGAGGGTGGCTTTGGGTTTGCAACAATCTGTGTGCATAAAAAAAATGAACTAAAGTAAGAAAAAAAAAACATATGTGTTAAATTCATTAATAGAATAATACCAAGATTGTGCTATATGACGCAAATGAAAATTACAACAAACCGGCTTCTGGGATGTCCACCATATTTTTTGTAACTGCTTCAAGCTTTTCAGATGAAATAAATTGCTCTCCAAAACCATCAGACTTGAATGCCAAAATACCATTGTCTTTAAAGATGAAGTTGTTGTACTGACTTATGGCAATCTTCAGTTGACCAGATAGTATAGGCTGGGCGTTCATGTCCACATCAATTATGGAAGTTAATGTATTCCGGACTCCCCCATGACTCTCAAGTGCATCTTTCATCTCGTACACATTTGTAACATCATTGCCTTCATTGATGTAATTCAAGATGTGCATTCTACAACTTCCTGTGCGAGAGTCGCACAAATCTTTTCCTGACTGGGCTTCACTGAAATTATATTCTCTGATCGTTACATGCATGTTGTTCCTTAATTTCCAGAGGCATGTCAGAAGGGGAAGACAGTGATAGCATCCTGCATTATCAGAGCGCAAATAAACTTCTTTCAAATGTGGGTGACTCTCATGAAGCACCTGCAAAATGTGGATCAGGATTTTTTAAACTGTGAACCAACCCTGTGTGCAATGTTGAAGAAGGTGCACATAAGAAAGAATGTCCACTGATTCATCATCTTCTGCATCATTTCTTCGTAAGAGTACACATGAAACCTGCCAACTGATCCCTTGTTTTCCATACCATTCACTCTGAGTTTCTCTAAATGTCTGTGGCAAATATTTCATAGCCCAGTCAATAATTATGAGTCCTTGATCATCTTTAAGATTGTTCAGAATATCACTTTTACAGGCATCCTGATTAACAGTTCGTATGCAGTGATCTCGCCAGTTCACAATTTTCTCACACGATAACTCTACATCATGTTGAATTTCCTCTTTAACACTTGCATCACAGTGAACATCTTCA